GTGGATCGATCTCCCTATCGATTTGGTTTCAGTGGATCTTATTCCAGATCCATTTGGTTCGAGTGGATACATTTTGGGTATTACTAATTTATGCAAACAGCACAAACACCCAACTTTTCAAAGCCGCATATAAGTCATATTGACAAACACCCACAACTCGAAGAGGTGAGCTCACAAACACCCGCAAACACCCACTTTGTATCGACTATAAAAAAAATGAACCGCTAACGAAGGTGAAAAAAATATCTCCTCCAACACAAACACCCAATATCTCCCTTATAGTCCTGACAACCACTTCTAGTAGTCTTGACAAACACCCACAGAATTTCACAAGCTACATTCTGATTCGAATATGTCCCATCCCAAAATGATTTTTTTCTAATGAACTTCTCTCCGAAAACATCAGGTGCAAACAATGCAAAATTCGAGCGAAAAAATTTTTTTTTGCTTTTTCACACATGGTTGGATAGAGCTCATCGAGCTGAGTAAGAATATATCAGTCTCAATATTTTCCGAAACGTTTTGGAGAAAATTTTTGATTTTTTTTCAAAGTGCTAAAAAATCCATTTTTTCGAAAAAAAATTTTGCTCGAGTTTTTCGCTGTTTGCACCTGATGTTTTCGGAGAGAAGTTCATTAGAAAAAAATCATTTTGGGATGGGACATATTCGAATCAGAATGTAGCCTGTGAAATTCTGTGGGTGTTTGTCAAGACTACTAGAAGTGGTTGTCAGGACTATAAGGGAGATATTGGGTGTTTGTGTGTCACTATGAGGACTTTTTAGCTGGTTTAATACACGTGTAGAGAAAATTTCATTGAAAAAAAGTCATTTGGGGATAGGACATATTCGAGTCAAAATGTAGATTATGAAATTCTGTGGGTGTTTGTCAAGACTTCCAGAAGTGGTTGCCTGGACTATAAGGGAGATATTGGGTGTTTGTGTTGGAGGAGATATTTTTTTCACCTTCGTTAGCGGTTCATTTTTTTTATAGTCGATACAAAGTGGGTGTTTGCGGGTGTTTGTGAGCTCACCTCTTCGAGTTGTGGGTGTTTGTCAATATGACTTATATGCGGCTTTGAAAAGTTGGGTGTTTGTGCTGTTTGCATAAATTAGTAATACCCATACATTTTCCTATCGATTTGGTTCGAGTGGATGTTTTTCCCTATCCATTTCGTTCGAGTGGATGTTTTTCTTTATCCACTTGGTTCGAGTGGATGTTTTTCCTTATCCATTTGGTTCGAGTGGATGTTTTTCCTTATCCACTTGGTTCGAGTGGATCCATTTTCCATGTCCACTTGGTTCGAGTGGATCCATTTTGTGTGTCCACTTGGTTCGAGTGGACTGTACCTTCGAATATCTATATAAACGGCAGTCAACGCCACATTTACTTCATTTCTTCATCGACATTAATCTTCGGCTATGACCTCTACACCACATTCAACAACTATTCCTATTATTGACCTGACATTATCACCAGATCATTCTATAATTAATGAATCCAATGTACCTACTGATCCACGTCTTCGTCTTACTTCATCATATTGTAATTATTCACAATTAAAACGTCCGGTTTACTTACCAGTACCCAATTGGTATTTAACTGTGTTATTTTCATTAAAGCAAAAAAACGCTTCAATATTAAGAAATGCAACGAATTCAATTACATTACATGAAAATATAAATTCAAAAGCAAGTAATAACTCTATTCAACGTTCTAATGATATTAAATCATTAATCAATCAAGCAAAATTATCTTCGGATCGAACATTCGAATTTCTATGGCGTATGGACAATGATACAAAAAGATTTGCTACAACAGCTGGTGGACAAACTACTTTTTTGCGTTCTTATAAATAAAAATCATTTTTTCTATGTACAATTTTGTGAATAAATTCAATGAACTTTATGACACTTTTTTCTTTCTTTTTTGATAGAAGATATATATATATATTTCTTTTCACTAATTGTTTGTTCTAGATTATAAATCATTTCAACAACAAGCGAATCAACATCATTCTGATACTAATTCTACAGCTGCAATGTCTTCATTACCACCGACACGACCAATTTATTCTGCTGCTCAACAAAGAGCTCGTGAAAATCTCTTAATTGAAGAGATCGATAATCTAATTAGACAATTGATGAATGGTCCATATCATTACTCACCTTATCGAGTGATTCTTCATTGGACAACAAATGATCGGCCTCATTTTATGTACACTGCAACAGTAATCATAGATGAAATTTTATTTAATAATCATTGAACATAAAATAATACTATTGTAAATACCTATATATTACTCACGTGTGGAAAATTAATGAAATAAATAGATGATATTTAATTATGAAAATGTTTCTTTTACATTGATGACATTGATTTATTTTCTATTTTCAGATTTTTTTTCAAATATTCAACAAAATGACGATGATTTATGACATAGATGATTATGAATATGGTGATTTTCTTTCATATCCGTATGAACATGGTAAATTGTTGTTTTTTAAATCTATAAATTGAAATCAAAATTTGTATATGTATTTTATAGGGCTAGGACACATTGAGGATGGGAATAACGAATTTAAAAATGATTTTGATCTTATGGTTGCAATGGATCTGTTGATGGATTCATCGACAGAATTCGACATGTTTTGGAATTCTGATCAATTATCAGAAGAAGAAGTTTTTCTGATAGTTGATTATCTCTGTTATCATCAAGAAGATTTTGATGAACTTCAGCAATATGCACTACAAAATATAGGACAATATATCATACCGATGGATACAAATGACGATGATGACATCATGATTATCGATGTAATAAACTGTATTGATTGAAAAGCTGTTCGATGTTTTAAATAAATATTTATCTATGAAATGATTAAAATAAATGAACTATAATACAACATTTTTGTTTTTATTTCTAGATTATAATCTATAATGGATAATAATATCATTAGTGAAGATGGAAATATACATGATCAAACACGTCGACCATCAACTCTTACAGTACAACAAAATGCCGATAATCAGATGATAGACATTATTGATTTATGTACACCGACTATGGATACTAATAGTACATCATCACCATCACTAACTCATGTACAACGATTCCCTAATCTGGAACATCGACTATCTATCTTACCTTGGTTTCCATTCAATCAACAGCAACAACAAGTACAACAAGCTTGTCCTTTATTTGTCAACATACCATGTATGTAATACGACATAAACTTATTTTTATCAGATAGATTTATTTCTATTTTCAATTCTAGCACATCAATTGTCTGAAAAAGAATTAATTTTTCGACAATTCAATGTTTTTAAGCCAGCTTGCGAAATCATCAATAATGATCTAATATTACCATCATTTCTACGTGAAAAATATCAATTATATTTTGGTGATCTTATGAAACGTCTTAAAGTTAATATGGCTATTATAGATTTTAACTATACACGATTAAATGAATATATTAGAAAAGTTTCATATGAACGAATGTATGTATTTAATCTGGTATCGAATCATACGCTACAACTTGATGAAAACGAATATCCTATTGCTTTGGAATTCTATTTACAATTCGATAGTAAGTTCTTTCTTTTATTATAGAATAACTTTGTCTATATAATTATGATCTATTAGTTAATATGTTCTATATGAAAACATGTGAACTACGATATGCACGTCCACGTACAATGAATGAAGGTCTCTTCTGTATAGAAGAACCTGAAGCTAGTTATGAATTATCAGAATATGGGAATTGTGGTCTATGTTATCCAAACTATGATACAACATATCGAACAAGAAAATCAATTATCGAATTTAGTCGAGCACATAAACATACATTTCTTAATGGTTATCAAACTATCTTAAATTGTTCTGCAGTAAATAACTCAATTATCTAATAATCAATACTTTTATTTTGTTTTAGTCATGTCATACTCAAAATATTATTTATGTATTAACATGTCCATGTAATGAATATGATTATATTGGTGTAACATCAGAAAGTTTACATGATCGTCTTATAAGTATACTATTTTCTATTTATTTTTATGAAATTCTTATGTCTTTCATATATATAGATCATCGTGAACATGGCAATCGAATCATACATGAATTCTTAATAGGTCAAGATAACATTAAACGTGATTTACCAAGATCAGGAAAAGCTAATGAGTATAATAAATCATAATGATATGTTTTACATTGTTGATCTTCAAATATTATAGTATCGTAACCAAAGATCGTATGAAATTATACCAACATTCGGCTCGATGTTCAGCTGCCATACAAATCTTTCTTGATGCCAATCGACAATATTGGCGTTTTATACCTATGACATGTGAAGAAGCACAAACATCTGGCGAATATATGATTAAACGAAGAAATCTTTCCGATGAACTCGATTGGAATCGACGATCGAAACATGATACGTCGATCTATGTTGAAGCTGTTCCTCAACCACCGAATGGATACATCTTTTCTAATCGACAAGTTGCATTACAAATGGAGTATTTCCACTATAAGAAAGATATCAATTTACCTAATCTTGATATTGATCTATATAATGCGACAATTGTTGCTGTTTGTAAGTTGTTACTCTAATTTCTAAATTATATCAACTATATAACATTGAGATTTTATCTACTTTCATTTAAGTACCAGAAACATCTACAGAAATGTTTCGTTTACTAATCGAATCCTTGTTTATAACTCATGCTGACACAAAATTGAATAGCATAGGAAATATGATACGAGGAATTGATTTACCTGATTTCAATCCATGGTTAATACGCGGTGATCAATGGTGTCAAGGTTTATTAAGACGACCAAAACCAAGACATAGAAGTAATCAAGATATTATTCAAGAATAAACATGAACATTTTATTGTTATTTAATTATTATTATTATTATTAAAATTGACACTATTTTTCTACACTCATTATATATATATATATATCTTGTTCTAGATTTATATTATTGCATACATTAATTTTTTTTCTCTACAATCTATATATGACTAGTACAACAACGAAAAAATCAAAATCTATAGTTAAAACAACTACAAATGAAAATGAAACAATGAATAATAATTTTACTATTCTCGACGATGACAGTGACACACTCGAATACTCTACCGATATATTAAATCAATATTTTCAATCAGGTCATTTAAATGAATATGATAACTATGATGAAATAATAAGCGATGAACAATTATTGAATGATTATTTTAACATGAATGAAGTAAATCATAGTTGGTACTTGTATAAAAATATAACTTTTTCTATCTCTTAAGGCAACAACACAAATGGATGAAATAGTTCTTTCACAAACGTTCCAAGATTCATTAACGACTACTGATGATCATAATGAACAAGTACAAACATTAGTAACATCTAATCAACCACAACAATCTAGTTCTGAATCATGTACAAATATTAACACAAAGAAGAGAAAAACGACTGATGACGATGATACTGATAATACAAATATGAACTTGATGTTCGAAACATGTTCAATACCATTCAATCTATTAATAACAAACAAATTATTTATTCAAATGGTTAACAATGTAATAGAATTAAATAAATTAATGACTATTAATGATATTCATGATATTGCAATGTTAATATATAAGAAAAATGCTCTTCAAATTGATCGTGATATAACAAAAGCATATTTCCATGCTGTTCAAGGTACATTAAGAGAGCCTGAACTTGAACTAAATCCAGTCAAACGATCTGTTTTGCCTCGACAAGTTCAATCATTTATGTTAGCTAAAAGTAAAACAACAACAACGTCGACAACATCTTTCGATGTTAATGATGAACAACAAATATTCATTTGTAGTGAACTACTTATTGAACGTGTATTAGAAATTAAAGAAAAGATAAGTATTTATGAAGAAGAATTGGATGATAAGAAAAAATCTCTGGTTGATTTTACAACACAAATGGAGGATTTAATATCAAGTTATATTCAACAATATTGTATCATACCACTTGAAATGAAACGAAAATTAAAAATGACTTTACTTCATTATGATTTTGATACAGAACTATTGAAACGACAATATTTACAAGAGAAACCAAATGATTATCAACTTAAAATTGCAAAAGCACTTTATGATTCGAAACGTGAATTAGAAAAATCAAAACGACAATTATTCGAATTAAAAGAACAAGTCTTTTATAATAAAACTTTATCAATATTCGATGATTCCTATGAAAAACTTATTCAACAGAAAAAGCTTGATCTTATGATTATTAAAATTACAGAAGTCGAAACAAAATTTTATCAAAATCAACAAGTTTTCGACAATCATATGTCAACTATGTGGAGAAATCATCGTGACTTAGTTCGAAACCAAGGAATGACTACTACATTAACAAATATCATTGACAAAACTTTAGATAAAATTACAGATCAATGGCGAGCTATTTATAATTATCGAATTGATTATTATCTTCGAAATTCTTATGATAATACACATGGTAAACATATGCAAAAATTTGCATTTTCATCATTCGTTATTATGGATCAAAACTACAAATTTACTGACAAACAAATACAACTATTAAATCGAGGACCAACTTATGTACCACCATTTCAATTATCTATTACTACTACAATTAAAACACTTGATGATAAGATTAAGAAGGAATATGAACCATTGAAACAACAATTAAGTCATTTATTTTCACATTATCATATTAATAAAGCTTTATCTATGCAAATAAATACAAAAATGTTTAATGAATTCAAAGAAAATTTTTCTTTAACAATACCAACAATCTATCAAGAACGTGCAATATATGAACGAAACCTAGTTCAATCAATTCGATCTTCATTAAATAACAAACATCTTATATTACGAAGAACAGCCGACAATTCAAATACTTTCTATATTGGCAATCGTATTGATTTTGAACTGAAAGCCAATGACTATTTACAACATTCAGATGCTATTGAATATATAACAGATATTGAAAGTAATCCACAATGGCGAAATGAATTTCAAGAAATGATTAATTCAATGAATAAATTATTAGATCAATTGAAACAAAATAAATCAATTGACAATGATATCTACAATCGTTTAGTGATTAATATTAATAAAGTACAATTGGCATCTTTATATTTTCTACCTGATATTTCTAAAGTGAGTTATATTGATGTATTATCTCAAATTGTTTTTTTATGTATTATTTAGGAAAATGAAATATCATTGGTACCTTACATCAACACACAAAACAATCCAACAACTCAAATTGGTCTATTTTTACATCAAATACTATATTCATTTGTCGATAAAATTTTAAAATCGACAACATTTCGTGATGATATTGATTTTCTTCAAAAATTAACTGGTTATATCAAAAAACAATATCGTCGTCTTCCAACACAAACAATCTTTTGTACAATTGAAATAACAAATTTTTCTACATTAGATAATCATATGAATATGATTGATACTGTTATTTCCTTCTTACAAAATAATATGGGTACAAATAAACTGAAATGTAATATTTTAACAATGAAGAATCTTCTACATATTTATTTAAATAATAATATCTTTTTATATAAGAATAAAATTTATAAAATGAGGAAAGGTAGTCCAATGACGATGCCATTATCAGAAACATTAGCAAATATTTATATATTCAAATGGCAAAATTTGATATTTGATCATTTACGTAAATACAATGAATTTTATGGAAGGTATGTCATATTTTAACTTATATATATATGTTTGTTCTATTGTTTTCTATTCAAGATATAAGAATCAACTCTTTTTTACATGGACTAATGGAAATGAAAGTGAACTTTCTAATTTCTTACAAACCATAAAAGAAAAACAATCAAATGTTCATTTTCGAAAATTAATTGGTCCTAATGTAGTATTTTTAAATACATTTATTGAAAATCAACAAGGTCAATTATATAGTCGTATTGCACATCATCCAATTCTTCCACAATTTACATTACCTTATCTTGTTGGTCATTCAAAATTAGGTCATAGTGATTGGCTTCGTTGGACATTAATTCGATCTGTTTGTTGTTGTTTATTAATTGAAGATTTTCGTCGTGAACGTATTTATCTTGAATTATCATATCTTACAAATGGATATTCATTATTATTTGTTGAAACTCATATTCAAAATTTTTTTGAATACTTTCATACATCTCATCTACGATATATTAATAATCAAACACAATACAATGAATTTCGTCAAAAATGGTTAGATTATATGTCTATGCAATATGAATTAACTGATCAACTTCAACAATTTGATAATCAAGATCGTCTTATTCGTTTCAATTATTTATATGAATGGGGTCCAAGATGTAACTTTAATCAAAAATTTCTTGATTTATGGTCCGAATACTTTTGTCGTCATCCATTATTATCGAAAGAAAAATTGAAAATTTTATTAACAACAAAACATGAATATTCCTTAAATACTTTACTAGGAGGACTAGATTGAAATAGAACTTTTGTTTTTTTTTTGTAAATACAGATATTAATGATATTTCTTGTGTGTTACATAAAGCATTTATTGAAATACAACAATATAATCATATACATATACTTTATTTGTTGTTCTAGATTTAATTGTACTTCTATACACAATATTATTATTATTATTATTATTATCATTTGATACTCAATAAACAAAATAATAATAAAAATTTAAAACCTATCTGTCACATATGAGTTCTCATCCTATTGATTTGAATCCAGTAGAACAATCTACTTCTTCTTCTTCTTCATTCATTATTAATGAACAAGAGCAGCAACAACAAGGATATCAACCAACAACATTAAAATCACATAATCGTGCACGATCTGTTTATTTGCCTTTATTTCCAACAAAATCTTTTGGGCCAAATGATTATTTACTCTTAGCTAATGTACCAGGTTCGTATTTTGACATCAATTTATCGTTAGTTTTTGTTTTAATTTTATTACCGGAGTTTAGTTACCCGTCTTGCACCACATGAGATTGCGAAACGTCAATATGGAGCATATACTTCTGATGCATTGATGATGATGAATAATTACGATTATTCCAATGATGGATTTAGTTTATCTCAACAAGATGTTGAAGAATTAGCTGCACGCTTACGAGTTGGCAAGTCTATCATTACTTTTAATGCTCAGCAACTTCGTGGAATCTGTTATACTCTTTTGACATTACATGAGTCATTTCGACGAAATATCTTACAGATAAAGAATGTTGCTTTAACAGAAACAACACTTAATTCGAAACAGATGGCCATTGCACTGGAATTCTATTTACAAATAGATGGTGAGTGTTTGCTGTAGATATACATCAATCGAGTCTTACGTGCACATATATGCACGTTTTTTAGTGGATTTATTTTACATGAAAACGTGCTCTTATCGAGGAGCTATGCCTCGATTTAAAAATATCGAAGGTCTTTTCTGTGGCAATGATGAACCAGAAGCAAGATACACATTAACTCCATGTGCTAGCTTGCTTTGTCCATATTGTTATCCATCTAATCATTGGCAGAAAAGTCAACCATGGCCAGTCATTGATTTTGCATCCAGTTCAAAGTATCAGTTTGTCAATGGATATATCACCTATCTCAATTGTCCAGCCGTTTGTTTCTTTCATTAAATTTCTTTTGTTTGTAATAGTGAACGTGACTTTTTTCTGATTTAGACATGTAAAACATCCAATATAATCTATGCAATGACATGTCCATGTGGTCATTATGACTATGTCGATTCAACAACACAAACATTAGCTGATGCTATGACTTGTAAGTTATCATTTGTTGTATATTTTAAGAGAAACGAGTCAATATATGTATATATTTGATTGCTTTTATTCTAATATAGATCATCGAAAACATGGCAATCGAATTATATTTGAAAAATTGATTGGTAGTCCTTTATTTTCAGGATCACTACTCGATCCTTACGAGAAAGAGTAATGAATAAATTAAAAACACATATAAGAGTTTATCTGATATTATTCTAGGCAAGAAACAGCCAATAAAATGCGTCTCTATCAACATTCAGCTCGATGTCCGATAGCACTTCGTTCATTTCTTGAATGCAATCCAAACTATTGGTGTTTTATTCCTATGCTTTTACATGAAGCACTAGCTGAAAACATTCTTTATACTAGAACATCTAACTATTCAACTGCTGAACTATACGATTTTATTCCCATGATTGCTATTGACAATCAAAGAGTAGAGAATTATCTTAGCCATATACCACTGTCGCCCGTTAGTTATGCTTTCTCATATCAGCAACGACAAAAACAACGATTATTTTTCGAATCGATTGTTCCTTTTTCAACAAATGAACAATCGTTACCCTATTCACCATTACACTTGTATAAAGTGGCACTTATTGTCGTTTGTAAGTGTACAGATAATCTTTATCAATCATCAATCAACATGTATTCCTTTTCTATATTAATCTAGTACCTGATGACTGTTCAATGATACTACGATACATTCTTCAATCATTGTTCATTGTTCATGGTGAACCGAAATTGAATATGATTTGTCCGCTTGGTGGTGATCCTGAAAAACGATATGGGCGTGCATATGATCTTGTTTGGTGTGCTGGCTTGAATCATTCATTATTAACTATGCCACGATCGAATCAAGATTGAACATATTCATTCATTATTATTGAAAAATCTACTTTTATTTAGCAAATACCTCTACATTAAAAATAGTTTCCTCTTCTATCTCGTTTTTCCTTTATTCTCCTCTTTAAATCACCTTTCTAACTTTCACCGCTGATCTTTACGTTTGATATTATACTAAATCCACCATAAATCTATCACATTCTAGATTAAACAGTGAATTATCATTAATACTATTAACCATAATCAAAATACATTTTATTACAGAAACTCTAAATAAAACTTACAAAACTTGCGTCGACTATACATATAATTATACATCATATTTATACTGGATTCATTTTCAACTAGTACAACATTCCATTGTATTATCAAAATATTGATCGTACATATCAGTTTCCAAAAGCATAATAATTACATACCAATAAAATTTCGAACGACATACACCATAAACCAAAACACGTCACCATGTACAATATCTTATTATGATAATATCAATGCATCAAACCTATCTATTTGACACTTAATAATCTTCTTTTATTGAATTAACAAAAGTAAAGATACTTCATATTTGTGGCAGTTATTCACACCCATCCTCACACTCTTAGTTTATATGTTTATTGTTCTTGAACATCTATTTTAGAATGAATATAAACAACAGTCAAATTCCTCATAGTCCGACTGAATCATCTTCTGAAAATAATGAAAATGAACCTAATATCGATCATTTATTATTTGCTGAAATTAGAACCACGAGTCAAACACCATTAATATCATTCAATATGACAAATATGATTCCAAGTCAACGACCAATAATTACAAATCAGTCTGAACATAACAATCGATCTTCCCGACGCGAAGCTCAACGAAGACGACGTCAACGGCAACGTCAACGGAGGCGTGAAGAACGTCAGGCATTACGACAACAACAAATACAGGAACAAAGACAACAACAACACCAACAACTCATGAGGCAATATCACCAACAAAGACAACAGGAACGATATATACGATGGGCCGACCATATACGTCCATGGGGACTTGAACTAATTCAACGATGGCAAGAAAGTCTACTTCAATGGGAACTTCCACAAAATCGACCACGACAAAACTACCATAATAATGAATTATACCGTTCCGATCCATTAGAAGAACCAATAGATAAAATATACAACGAGCCACTTTTAGGAGCATATACGTGGAAAATGATGGACCCAAAGGAACGATGGGAACAAGAACAAATAAATGAAATAGAAAAAATTCATGTTGTCGATCCATCTGAACAATTAACATTCATACAAGATGAACTCGAACAACTCCATCAGATTGATCACATTGAAAGATTAAAAGAAGAGGAAGAACAGATTCAATTAGAACAGTGGGAACAAGATCAATCTACTGAATTAAACGATCCTCCTATTCTAGCATATATATCACAACTGGAAGATGATATTGAACAATTAAGACAAACTGATACTATTCAAACAATGGATAATGAAATACTTGAAGATTAAAAACAAGAACGACATGATGACGAAATAACTCAACTGGAAGAATAAGAAGCATTAACTTGTCAAACTCAAATATTTAATGAAAACTAGATCATATGTAAAATCATTTCTAAAACTATATCTTTTTTCATAATATACTTCCCTCATACTGATTTTTCGACATCCTATTTATTCCAGAATATTATCTAATTGATTATAGAAAATTTGTAGTTTCGCTTATTGTAGATTACTAAGAATGACACACAATAATTGAACAAGCCTCCTCAAATAAATAAACTTATTTCAACCTCCGTGGCACTACGACATCGAATCAAATAATCATCATTTACTACTTAAAGGCGACTCAAATCCAACAAACAAAACAACATTATAGAATCAAACACATTCACTTCAATCGACGACACTTATGCAGTCATAGTACAATAGCCACCAGATGAGACTGTGAAATTCAGTCAAAACCGATCGTGGAGGTAACTGTGTATAAATACACCATTACAAACGGCAAAATTCATTGTTGGTATTCTCAACAATCCCAATATTTACAAGGAACTTATCCGTCTTAATCCATTCACAAAAAATGGCAAACTCATCAATTCATCATATTGATTTGAACATTCTCCTAAAATTAAACAATTTTTTTTTGTTCATTTATATCTGAATTCGTTTCAAACGTATTACTGTTTCTCCCTATTTCTACAACAATATATGATTTTCTTCTATGTAATCCTATCCAACCTTTGATTCTAAATAAAATATTATAACATACAACGGAAACAATTGTTCAGCCATAAACAAAAGTATATCTTCAATTTCCTTACAGATAAAAATCGTTAACTTTCTATTCTATAGCCACTTCGCAAGTTAATCTTTTCGGGGACTACAAAATCCTTTAGATCTTGTCATACCGAGATTCACACCTACCCTCAAGATGTTTGAGATGAATTATTTTGATAAATTAGTTAGAGTATACCGGTTTTTAGCGAATGTGCTATTATAGAATCAGATATTTATATCATTGCCTCTTATATCTGTATTACCATAGTACGATTTTGCGAATGGTAAGTATGTGGAAATGAATGAAATATTTGAGTTTCACGCAGCTGTTAAAGCTAGAATTCTTCACATAATCAAAACATGAACAGTTTCAGGTATTTGGTTTCGTTTAGATATTACATTGACACAAGTAACATTGTATATTAAAATGTATTTTTATCTTTCATAATGTTCAATAATCGTTAACTCTCGTTCCATAGATTGTTTGAAGAGGATAGTATGGGCTGTGCAGTCGAACTTGCATCTTTGGTATCTAATAAAGGAATCGCATTGTAGTTTAAAATCATGGGGAGTTGTGGGTGACTATATATTTAGAATACTATAGAGAACGCTTGAATAGAAGGTAAGTAGTGAATAATAAGAAAGTTATAACAAGTTGTCAACAATAGAATAAATGATAATGGATACATGTATGGATATAAGATAAAGTGATTAAAAACGAAAGTGTCTATTGTTTTGCTTGCCATCGACGTCGCATTGTTTCAAATTCATCTGGATCACCTAGACGCTCTTCATTGGCTTCAATCGATGAATTACTTGAATTTTGATTTTGACTAGAATCTGTAGTATGTCGTTGACGTTGATAGAAATACTCGTTTGGACCTATACGATCAATGAAAGAGTTCAACACATAGCTGTGAAAGAAAGAACTTACCCATAATGTAAACAATTGCTCGTTTCTTCCAATATTCAGCCATTCGTTGTTCTTCAAGAGTAATTGGTTCACGTGTTAATGAACCAGCATCTTCTGGATTGAGAAGAACAATAGCTGGTTGTTGAATATTAATTTCGATTCTTCTTCGATATTTACCTGTTGCCTATAAATTAATTTCTACTTATAAGTATAAATAATTCATGATGTCTTACATTTATTTTTCCATTTTGTGTTAGAAGATCTTGTTTATTTGGAAAATTTAGTTTTGAAAAACGATCCCATGGTATACCATCATAAACAGAATAACGTGCATAATCCTGCCATGAATCTAAATTCCATCTTCCTTGAAAATGATTAACATGACCAGGTAATGATAATGCGAATGTTGTTTTTCCTGTATCAGTTGGACCAATTAAAATTAAACATTTAGCACGTTTTGTACGTGAAAAATGATGTCGTATCCAATCATTGACAACTTCTTTTAATTGTGGTGTACATTGTGGAAATGAATCAGGCCATATATTTTTTTTATCAATTTCACCAGTTTCACGTAAATGTTGTTGTTTTCGTCCATTAACATAATTAAATGTAGATAAATACCATGTACTATGATGAATAAATTTATCAGGCATCATTTGTTTTATATATTCCATAGCTTGATAAACATTAGTTTCAGCTAAAATAAATGCTTGTCGTGCAATTTCTTTAGTTTTCTGTTGTCGTTGTTCTGTTTGTGCTCTTATTGTCATTACACGTTTTGAAATCATTGAAATAGATGCCGATGATGATAATGATCGTTGTCTTCGATTACTTCGTTGTCGTGTTGTCATTTGATTTGCAGTAACTGTTGTTATTCTTAACAAATCATTTAATTGATCCATCATATTACTAGCTAAATTGTCATTAATAGGTTGATTGGTTTGAATAACTTGTGATAAATTTTGAAGATTTCGTTCTAGTTCTTCATCAAATTGTCTTTCATTGAATAAATTTCTATTTGTATCTGTTACCATATCATTAGCATCATCATCAGTTTGTTTATTTAAATCATGAGCTTGTTCTTCTTTTTGTGTTTCTTTACTCATAACTTCAGTTAAAACACGTTGAAATGTCATAGGATCAATGATAGAACCAGCTTGAAAATGATATGGAACAGATTTAATTGGTGAATCATCGAGATCAATATTATCAAGATTGTAACGTCTTGATGCATTGTTATGTAAAGAAGAAGAAGATTCATCTTCATTTACTTGTTCAATTTGATTAATATGTAAATTCGCCATATTCTATTGAATAATTTAATATAAAGAAATTATCTAAAAAATAATTATATTCTTAATATATGAAGTCATGTATGAAAGAAAGCATATTATTTCAAAATATAGCATACATGTCTAAAACAATGTCGAAACTAATCGTGATGGTTTCATACTGTTTGTCACATCACTGTCATACGATTAACTATTTTAGTTTAAAGATACTCACACCTGTACATAAGTTCAATAAAGTTGATTACGAATTTTGTTATATTTATTTCAAAATAAACACTATAATCAAACTTTTCTTATTCTCTTGTTCATCGTCATTGTCACTTTTCAATAGAAAGAGCGGATGTTTATCATTGTTCTGTTGTTTTTGTTGTTGTAATAGTAGTAGTAGTAGTTGTAGTAGTAGTGGTAGTAGTAGTGGTAGTTGTTGTTGTTGTTGTTGTTGTTGTTATAGTTGTAGTTGTAGTTGTAGTTGTTGGTGTTGGTGTTGGTGTTAGTGTCTATAAATATCAAGAGAAGGTTTTATCTTTTTTATATTATAAAAATAAAAATTTTTAACTTTACCTTTTCTTCAATTTGTTTTTGTATTGTAGAACCAAGTCTGGTTGAGAAAAATTTGTTTTTCATATATGCCATGATGAGAACTCGATAATTTTGGTTGACTATTTAAGCGGATTAATCTTCTATAGTTGTTCGGTTCAAATGGGTCCATTTCCCATCTCCACTTGGTTTAAATAGGTTCGCCTTTCCATGTACACTCCGCCCGAGTGTACCAACACTTGGACACTCCACCCGAGTGTACCTATCACTGGTGCACTCCGCTCGAGTGTACCTATCACTGGTGCACTCCGCTCGAGTGTACCTATCACTTGGACACTCTCCGCGAGTATACCAACCACTTGGACACTCTTCACGAGTGTACTTATCACTTGGACACTCTTCACGAGTGTACCTATCACTGGTGCACTCCGCTCGAGTGTACCGATCACTTGGACACTCTGCTCGAGTGTACCGATCACTTGGACACTCTGCTCGAGTGTACCTATCACTTGGACACTCCGCCCGAGTGTACCTATCACTGGTACACTCCGCCCGAGTGTACCTATCACTGGTACACTCCGCCCCGAGTGTACCTATTCTCGATGCCTATATAAACGTCGGTTAATGGCAGATTTCAGCCATTTCTCCATCGACACTAATCCAGACAACAACTCAAAGCTTGGCCTACTATCCATTTAGTTATCTGATATTGGAACAGTTTTGGTATGTTGATTTTATAGTTAGGGAGATGTTCATCTCATGTATCTTTTCATTTGAATCAAATAATATGATTCTATTATTGTAGATATTTTGATCTAAAACTCATTCATGCCTTCATCAAATCATCGATCATCGAGTACACAGAGAGCAAGACGTACATCGACTCATACACAGACATCAAGTCGTCGATCATCCAGTGTACCACATCGAGAATTTATTATCATTCTAACAAATCATCCTAATTTATTAAGAGAAACTGTAGCGTTACAACCAGAGGTAAAATCCTCTCTATAGTTAAAACGACACTTTTATTTTTATTCATTCTAGGCACAACAACGAATGCAAACAAGAATTGCTAATCAAAATGGTTCTGGTCGTCATGAAACTGTGAACGATAATGAGAATGGCATTCGTGAACAAATATTGAATACTCTCTTACAACTTGAATTAAGTGATGCAACTCAAGATTATCTCTCTCGTACTCGTCGAGGAAATCCAATACATTTCGTATTTGATATGTCGCGCATTGACACATCAAATCAATCCGAATAAATGTGAAAAACATCACGATTGTTTTTCTTTCTTTTTTGTTGTATGTTTTCCATATCTTCATGTTAAATAAGCATCAACATACACATAGATATCGATCAGTAGTTATATGTATTTTTTGAAATATCTATCTTGTATTGTAGATTATCACAAACATCTTTCATGTCTTCATCAAATACATATGTTAATAGTGAATTATCAGGAAACAATATCATATTTCCATATTTTATTATTACAGTTACGAATTATCCTCATTTCATACAACCTATACAACAATATCAAATATCGAATCAGGTAGAATATAAACTGATTAAAGAAAATACAACATAATATCTCTGTTCTATGTTTTTTTAGTATTGGCAACGATTATATCAAGGAGCTGTACTTATACCAGGTGTACTCGTTCATTTTGGAACCAATCGTACTGAAGAACATGAAAGATTATTACGCAATACTGTACGATTTCGAATACAAGAAATTATTCGAGAATATCTTCGATCAACTATACGACCATATCCATTTCATTTGGTTTTCGATATGTCCGACATGAGATCACATCTTTAAGCCACACAAAACACATCATTTCTTTTTGTTTCGTTGTCATTTTATTGTGAATATTTGAGAGTGTGTACCTATATATATATATATTACTTTTGTGAAATAAGAAAACACTTGGTCTAACACTTCGTATCACTCTAGATTAAATATTGTTGTTTGCATAAAGAATACTTTATATATGGAATTTGATTCATTTAATTTGGATACAATTGTGATGGATCTATTGGGTGATGGTAAATCAACATCTGATCGTCACAATAGTACACATTCATTGGAAACGACTACACAACAACTCGACAACAATCGGCAGTATACTCTTATTATATTCAACAACCCTAAATGGTCTCGAATACTTAAAAAGAAATCAGAACACGTATGAAATAAAATTATGCTTTACTACTGCATATAAAAAATAATTTCTTTTCACTTATCTTATAGATAAAGCAAGAACATACACAAAATACGGCACATCAACCTACAACGACAGTTATAAAACAAGAAGAACAAAGTCTATCGTTGGATGATCATTTTATCAACCAATTACGACAACTACTTAAAGATTACATGCAGCATACTAAACGACCATTTCCACTAAAATATTTCATTGATCTTACTGATTAGTGACTATTGAATTGTTTTCAGGATATTAGCTAAAGTTTTGAAGATTTTTGTTTATGAATATGAAATAAGAATAAACATATCTGATGAAATTTTAATGACAATCTTCTCACTATGTGTCTATCATTTTAGATAAAATAACAAATTTCTTCTTCTTCACACAATAATGAGTGAAAGTGATCATCGTTCGATGTCAACAACGAGCAAAAGCTCCTATCATAAGATAAATGTATGTATGAACAGTTTTCTTATGAAAAACACATAAGTGTCTATATTTTTATGAATATTAGTGGAAGGATATGGAATGGTATGACAATGTGTTTGATATTTTGGATCGAAATAATGATGTATTGGAATATACAAAGGAAGAATTGAATCGATATTTCACATCTGGTCATTTAAATGTAACAATCGATGAAGAGGCAGCAGAACAAGAAGAAGAAGATGATATGATCGACGATGATAATTTATTTCTTCACCACTATGTTGAAGTAAGCGACACTTGATGCATTTATCAGAATATATTCTACTTCACTTCATTTAGTCTACAGAGGAAGAAGTTCTATCACAACAATTCAGCCAGTTGTCGACAGACAATGAATCGGAAGAAGGAGGCTCTTCGGTAGTCAGTAGCAAACGAAAGTTGAATACAACGTCAGCTCCCTATGTTGTTTTCAAGAGAATCAAATCAACGAATGATAACGATCCTAATGTTACCGAAGGAGAAGAAGAAGAACAAGATCAAATACCAGCTTATCTATTAGCAACAAATAAATCTTTTGATCATATGATTCAAAAGGTGATGAATACTGCTAGTTCAATTGATATGAATGATTTACGACAATTGGCATTGTTAATACATCATATTGCTGCTCTCAACATACAAAAACAGGTTACCATCGTTTATTTACGATCAGGTACAGGCAAATTGAGAGAACCAGAGCCGAGTTTAACTGAAGTTGATCGACGAGTTTGGCCTATGCAAGTCAAATCAGCACTATCAGAAAAACGTAAACAACGAAAGATCGTCACAACTGTACAAATTACTACAGAAGATGAACATCGTGATCATGAAAATCTCGTCTATGAACGTTTACAAAAAATTAACGAAAGAATTGAACAGTACCAACGACAGTTCAACGAAAAGAAACGTCAGTTGATAGGTTTAACATCAACTATAGAAGAAGCGATTGTTAAATACGTACAGAAATATGGAGTTATACCTCTCCAGATGTAACGTGATATGAAAATAGCATTGCTTGAATATGACTACGATGCTGAAATATTGGAACGTAAATATCTAGAAGAAAAACCGAATGATTATCAGGTATTACAATGAATATTATGTTGAACAAGGTGAAGTTATTGTTCATTTCATTGTCATTTAGATTGAAGTTGCTAAACGTCTCTATCAGGGAAAATATGAACTCGAAAAGGCAAAACGTGAATTACTTGAATTAAAACAACGAGTCTTCCACAATAAACCATTTTCCATCTACAAATCTGTTCAAATATCTAATAATACTATTACAACTGCTATGATAAAACAACTGGACCTAATCGCTATACAGATAATCAAAGCAGAAGTGAAATTTTATTTATTAGAAAACAAATTCGATGCTGAATACAGTAAGATGTTAGAAAATCATCGTAATCTTGTGAAAAATAAAGGTATATCTACAACATTGAATAATATCATCGATCAACGTCTTAAGAATATCGTCGATCGATGGAGAAATATTTACGATTACAGAATCAATTTTTATCTTCGAAGTTCCTATGGTGATCTGGAAAATATGAATCATGAGAAGGATAGAAAGAACAATGATACAACTGAACAATTATCAATGAAGAATATTGAATTTTTCTCGAATCTAATTAGTCATACAAAGCATCAACTTAATAGTAAACAAATACAACTATTGAGTCGAGGGCCAACTTATACTCCACCATGTCAAATGTCTCTGTTTACTTCTTCGACTTCATCACAATCACTTAATGATATAGTAAAAAAACAGTTTGCGCCGTTGAAACATCAAATGGCAAGTGTATTGTCAAAACATCATATTAATATTGCTTTATCATGGGAAGTTCAGAACGCCATCAATCAAAAGTTCGTCGATTACTTTACTACATCAATACCATTAAATATTCGTCAACGTACTGCTTATGAAATGGAATTAGTTCAATCTATTCGATCGTTTCTAAAGAAGAACAATCTTATTCTACGAAGAACAGCAGATAATCAGAATACGTTTTATCTTGGTGAAACTAAAGTGTTTGAAACAGCAGCAAACGAATATCTATTGAAATCTGATGCTTATAAAGTTTTAAGAACTATCGTAGAAGAAGAAGATAAACAAGAATGGCAAAATGATTTGAATGCAAGAATTGAAGCCATGAATGATGCATTACAAATATTAAAAAGACGAAAAGCATTGGATAAGAATGTTGTTGATACTCTAATTACTAATTTAAATAAAGTCAAATTACCATATTTGTATTTCTTACCTGATGTTTCCAAAGTGAGAACCTTTTTTCTTCTGATTATTATTATTTCATTTATTTGCGTAGGAAAATGAACTATCATTGATACCAAAAATTGTTGCACAATATAGTATCACATCCAAGATTTCTAAATATATTCATCGATTGCTTCGATCATTTGTTAACGAAAAGATGAAATTATTAACATTTCGTGATGAAGTTGATTTTATGCAAAAATTATATTATTACACTTATAATCAACAACGATTAAAGCCGACGACACTGTTCTGTACAATTAAAATTACTAATTTCTACACATTGATCGAACATGAAAAAATGATTGATATAGTTACATATTTCTTACAGGATAATTCAGTAACCAATAAAGTGAATCAAGTATCTATCATGACAAT